TTTATAGGCATTTCAGTGCAATAACGGAATAGTTATGACACAAAGGACGCATTTGGATGATTTTTTACATGGTAGAATTATCGGCCGTCTGGAATGTGGGCGTACCCAACTGGAAGTATCAGACAAACTTGGAATTGCCCAGAATGTCATCTCCAGGCTTTGGCAATGATTCCAAGATGATGGTAATGTGAGTATTCGTTACAGCACACGTCACCCCAGAGTTACAACACCGAATGAGGACCGGTATTTGGCAGTTACTGCCGAAAGAAACAGGCAGAGCACAGCCTCAGACCTGTCTCGTCAGCTCTCTTCAGCCACTGGTAGGACAATTTCAAGGCAGACCGTGTACAGACGCTTAGGGCAGATTGGTCTATATGCTCGTAGACCTGTCAGATGCGTTCCACTTACTGCAACTCACTGTCACCTGCGGTTAGCCTGGAGTAGAGAGCATGCATTGTGGACACCGCAACAGTGGGCTTGTGTGATGTTTTCCGACGAGTCCAGGTTTAGCTTGCAGTCTGATTCTCGCCGGACTTTCATATGGAGAGCCCCAGGTACCCGTTACCATCAAGAAAACATCATTGAACGACACCGTTACGGTGGTGCAGGAGTGCTCGTTTGGGGTGGAATTATTCTGGGTTCCAGAACTGACCTGCATGTTCAAATTGGAACCATGACAAGGCAAATCTGTTGGGACGTCATTCTGGAAGAACATGTATGTTTGCTTCGGGGTGCCATGGGCGCACAATTTGTGTTTATGGATGACAACGCCCGTCCTCATCGTTAAAACATCGTAAGCGAATGCCTTCAGTCGGAAGATATCGCCCGTATGGACTGACCAGCATTCTCATCGGACTTTAATCCAGTAGAGCACGTGTGGGACATGCTTGGCCGACGAGCTGCAGCCCATCAACCTTCTCGTACATGTCTACTGGAACTTCGGAGAACATTGCTTTTTGAGTCGTGTAATATCCCCCAAGATCAGATCGATAATTTGATACTCAGCATGCTTAGGCGTTGTACAGACTGTATTGCATCGTCTGGGAGACATACAATGTATTAACAATCATACCAACCATTTAATATTGGTTTTTTTTTGTAAATAGGTGTTTTTTTTTTTTTTTTTTTTTTTTTTTTTTTGTAATTTGCTCCAGGGAAAAAAAATCACTAATTTTTTTAATAATATTAAACATATAGCATCTTTTTTTTGCTCTTTACCTTTTGTTTAATAAATAAGCTTTACAAATAAGTCAAATTTGTTTTGCTTCTAACTCTTCCTTTGCCTGATTTTGCATTATCCTTAATTTATGGACATGAGTGTACATCAAACAGTGAATAAAGTAGAGCACTTCGGCACACATTTGCTATCAATGGACAAAGTGGAGAAAATAAGGATTGTGCACTTATTTGTAGTAGTATTTACAATAAAAATTTATTTAATATGATTGGGTGAGATTACATTGCATTACAGCCATTGTTACATGACTGGATTAATTTTGAAGGACATAATGCACTGCTCAAAACAGTTAGGGAATATTCTGAGTTCAGTATGAAATAACCATATAATTGACAACTTTTTTTTTAACAAAAAGGAAATACAAGAGGTTAAAAAGGAAAATTATAACAATTACAAAATTGCGAAAATGCAGATTTTGTCTGAAACATTGAAAACTACACATTTTAGATGAGGAGTGAAAAGTGACCTTTAGCAGTCCTTCTGTAGGAGGAGATTAAAAACAACTGACACATGTTGAAGGTTTTATAACAGTGTATACTATGTCTCAGCAAGATAACCTGGCTGAATCAATACCTGGAGGACCATCGGCTGTTTGGAAGCGGGTCAAGCATAATCCATTGTAGTGGAAGTGTTAGGAGTTTCTCAAAGTATTATTTCCAGAATTGTTTTTTAGATATTGGAAATGTTCACTCAAGGTTGTATGCCTGTAACAACACAAAATGAGGATCGGCAGCAACGGCTAGAAGAAACAGCACTATGAATGCCACTTCTTTACAACAGCACTTTCAGAGGGCTAGCAATACTAGAGTTTTGACTCGACTTTCCCATGTGGGCTTGTATACTGGCGAGACCTGTAATTTGTGTTTCATTGACATTGTGATTCAGCATGCTGGATGCAGAATGTAGGCATAGGAGCATCTCAAATGGAGACAAGAGGAGTGGAGCAATGTGCTCTTCATGGATGTATCCACTTTAGTATACAACTTGACAATAAACAGATTCGTATGTGGAGAGAACTTTGTACAAGGACCTGCATTTGTGCTTGAAAGTGTCCGATTTGATGGGAGCAAAGTGATGGTCTGGGCTGGTATTTTTATGAATTACCGCACCGATCTGCACATTATCTGGAATGGAGCACTAATGGCTCAGTGATATAGGAATGAGATCCTCAGACCTTTTGTTGTCCTTTACATTGCAGCAACTGGGGATGAATTAATTCTCATGGATGATGATGCCAGGTCACTGTGCTCAGCTAGTAGATAAATTCCTTTTCAATGAAAAAATCCAGCAAATGGATTAGCCAGCATGTTTCCCGGATATGAACCCAACAGAACATGTTTAAGACATTTTAGGGAGAACGATTGCTAGTTGCTTATCACCCCCAGAAGCAGTTCAGCAGTTTGAAAGCTGTCTTTTGCAGGAATGGGAGAGAATACCCCAATCCCTCATGGATAACCTGATTGATTCCATGCCTTGTAGATGTGCAAAATTGCTTTCAATAAAGGAAAACCATATCCCTTATTGAAACTCATTTTGTATCCAAAAAATTACACCATTGTGTGTTTGTATAATATACTTTTTGTTTGTTTGTTTGTTATTTATCAAAAAATACAATCAATAGCATTTATTCTATTTTTTGTTCAATTCTTCTTTTTCTTTTCTCATGTTTTACAACACATATACTTCTTATAACAGTCACCAAAACATTTCCTCATCTGCAGTTTATATCTAAAATCATAATATTCCCTAACTGTTTTGAGCAGTGTGTTTTAGAAAAAAAAAAAAAAGTTTTACTGTTTTAAAATTAGATAGGGAAAGAAACCAAACTAGAAAAAAGAAGACCTGAATTCCAACATGTGGAATCTCTTATTTTATAAAAACACTAAAAATGCATTGCAGATATATAAATTAACTACATTGCATTTCACTATAGTACTATATTATGATTAATATTTGATATCACTCACAGTTTTTTTATAACTGTTGGTCTTGGACATCCATATATAGCAAACAGGACAGTTGGGTAATCATGTAGTATGTAATCTTCCACTTTCAGTTATTTATTTATTTTTTAGGTGCTGGCACCAAAATTGCTTATGGTTTTAAATAATTTATTTTCTTGCCACTTTTATCTCATTGTTCGGGTTAAAATTAGTTTTTTACTTACTCTATTCTAAGAAATAATAACTTACTAAAAGCAGTAGATTGTGTATTACATGATTGCCAACAGTTGTATACTCCTTTGTACCTTTAATTGCTTTATATTTTGCTAAATTTTGCATATGATATCAAAAATCGTATTTTTTTAAAGCTGTATTTCAGAGTAAATAGAGGTAACAAAAAAAAAAATTTCAGTGTTAAATTTCATATAATATTAAAATATTTCTTCCTCTCAGGAAAAAAAGAGTCTTGAGTAATACCTGCTTCTTTATCACAGCTGTTAAATTTTGATCGTTCAAATTTCATAAGTCGAACTGAATGCCAAATCATAAAGTTAGAAATTAATACTAACTTTTCTTTAAAATAATGTCAGATTTAAGCTGCGTTCACACTGGTCTGTTGGGGCGTCAAGCATCAAAGCGTAAAAAAACGCTTTCCGGGTTACGTGAGTTTACATCATCGCGGCAACTTTCACTTTAAAAGTTGTCATATGCTCGCAGTAGACGGCGCTTCATATCGGAAACTTGGGGGGGAGGAATGTGAAATTTTTGTGTGGTATTTTGACTTTTTACGATTACATTTTAAAAATTAAAATGGATTTAATTTCTGCTTGATTAAAACTTATTTTACTTCTTGCTTTGTGTAAGAGAAGCAGAATGCAGTGGTTTATATTAATATGTGAGAGATGACTGCAGTAAGGAGATGCAAATAATTTAATTGAAGAAATGCGCTTGAACGAAATAAAATTTCTTTTAATTACTTTCGCATGACACCTCATCAATTCAATGAATTTCTAGCACTCATTGAAGTATTTATTCAAAAGCAGAACACTAATTTTTGTCAGAATATCCCAGAAAAGAATCATTTGGACTATAGGAATAGTATATCCCATAAAAGAATCGTTGCATATACTAAATGTTGTATATATCTAATTTAATTTATTTATGAATTTTGTTGAATGATAATTAAAGAATCCTAATTGCATGATTATTTTTTTAGAGTAAATTTTTCATGTGGTAGAATGCCGTAAATGTATTCTCATGATGTATGAACTTCCCTGAAATGCTTCATTAAATAAACTTCCCTTAATTGGTTTAAATAATGCAATAAAAAATATCAAACCATATATCATTTATGGTGGATTATTAAGGTTTATTACTACTAATAAACTTGAGAATTTTCCTCTAAATAATTTATAAAGCTATTTATTCTATTAGCGTATGCATTTTTTAAATTTAATCTGAAATTTTTATTAAGATTAGTCCATTTGAATTTTTCAAAGTGCAATCATTTAAAAACCATGGTATAAAGACGTTTGAAACAATAGGCCTGAAACTGACGCATCAAGCGTCAAAAAGTTGAAGTTGAATCAACTCGGCTTCAACTTTGAGTCAACGTGGCCATCCGGCAAATGCCGCCTCTGAACTCGCTTCTGATTGGTTAACGCTTTATGTGCGAACGGGTGACCGCATTTGTGTGAACGCAGCTTTAGAGTATTTAAAAAAGTCAATTCTTTTTTGTTCAATTTTGGCTTATGAAAATTTAACTGTACAATACTTTTGATGTGCAAATTATTATTATTATTATTTTTTAATCTTTACAGGAGAAATATTCCTGATTTTAAAGATGTGGATACCTTGAAACGCTGCATTTATGATCCAGTAAAAAACCCACTCTGTCCAATTTTTGTGCTAGAGGATATTGTTCCAGGAGATTATAATGACATGGCTGTTAAAGTAAATTTTATGTATTTTAAACTTTTGTTTCAGTCATGAAGTTGCTAATTACTTTTATTATTGGGGGGTTTTTTTAGCTTTATGTTCTTTAACTTTTATTCAGAAATAGTATGATACTCATGTTTGGTTAGTTATTGATATAAGGTAACCAAAAAAGTTCTTGCTGTTTTGCACAGTCGGAAAGAAAAAGTCATAAAACAAATAATAATCACCGCTAATCCTCAAAGTAATCACCATTGGCATCCAGTGCCTTTTGCCAACAAGTGGCTAGCTGTGCGATGCCATCACAATAACTCAGGAGTCTTGGACGCAAAGAAGTCCGTGAGGGCCTTTTTGAGGTCTGGCTGGATGTTGAAGGATTTCCCATAAAGATGCATGTCCAGGGATTGGAAAAGGTGGTAGTCTGTTGGCATGAGATCTGGGGAGTATGATGGATGGGTTAGTGTCTTCTAGCCCAGTTGCTGGATGGTGTCCCTTGCCTCCTGAGCCACATGCGGCCTCACATTTACATGGAGGAGGAGTGCACCCTTATGATTGACCATTGCATCTTTATGCGTCAGTGCCTCATGCACAAGTTCCAACTGCTGAGAAGGCAGTTGGTTCAGGCCTGCTGTGATGGTTTGGCCCACTGGCAGGAGCTCATAGTGCTCATGCACCACTTAGCGACTAGGCCACCAGATACAGAGAATGATCTTGCATGGGTGGAGAGAAGGTCCTGCAGTGGGAAGTCTAGGGTCTCATGGTGACAACCAATGTCTTTAACACCTGGGTTTGTCATACTGGATCCTTGTTTCATGGCTGGTGAGTACTCAATCAAATATGGATTTATTGTGGTGCCAAGTAAGCAATGACAAACAGGCAGCGATACACTGTTGCTTGTTTGCATCGGGCAGTGAGCGGGGGCACCCTCTTGCTCAGCTTGTATGCCTTTCCTATGCAGTACAAATGGAGTCTGATAATTTCATTAGCTACCTGGAAGTGTGCAGCAGGTTCACCACATGTTTGGCTACTGTCACTCTCTATGGCTGCTCTCAGGTCCTCATTGTCCAGCACTTGTGGCAGACTGCTGCGTGGTGCATCACGAAGAGACATATCTCCTGACCTGAACTTCTGGAACCATTGCCTAGCAGTTCATTCATTAACAACATCATCCCAAAGACCTGGCAAATTTCATCATTTGATTCTGCTGCTGACAAAGCCCACTTTAAAATCATACACCAAACAACTCTAAACGCGCGCCATTGACACGTCCATTTCAATCGGTCACTGTGAAAATTATGTTTAAAGTTGCTCATCGCTTTGCTCGCACTTGGCTTCAATTACATAAGAGTTATTACCAAAAGTTCAGAGTTGCCAATGGCCAATCATGGTAGTAAATAAAATAAGAGATATACTTTAGGTATGTCTGTCACCTGGAGGCATAAAAACTTTCAGAACTTGAGTTTGCATAGAAGTTTGTCAGTAAGAGTAGCATTCTAGGTTTGAGAGCATTAAATAGTCACGAGTAGAGAAACAAGCTGAGTTTTCAATCCAATACGATTATGTTTGAAGTACCAATACAATGCGCTTTTATATTCTTGGTCAGTATCCGGACTCCCATCCTAACCACTTCATCACCAGGTCTGGCGATTGTTTTTATGTTACGTTGAGGTTCATTTTTCCAATGTCATATCAGAAGCAGCAAAAACCTTTTTGGTTACCTTGTACATATGAATTAAGATTTTGTTGATTTTATTTTCAGATGGTATTAAACTTGTTTCTTTGAAGAAAATTAAAGCTTTGATTTAATTTTATGAAACGTATGTAAATTTGTATATGAGTTTGTTTTCATATAAACCTAAGTACAAGGAATGAATATTTACTTTTCTTTTCACCCTCTTCAAATTTATAGAAATGGAAAACTATATTTTATTATCTTATCTATCAAATCTAAATTTATCTTACAATGAAATTTTGCCAGAGTTGAAACTGAGCTATTTTTCATGTGATTTGTGATGTACTCAATTGATTTTCTTTCTGTTTTAGAAATTTCCAGCTATGGATTATTATGGGCTTAAAAATTAAGTTATCACTTAATATAAAAATGCATTATTCACACTAGTGCCATAAAATAGTGCAGTTTTTCCAAATTGGCTATTGATTGCTGATCGGGTGAAAACAAGTCTTTATGTTATACAAGTGTGATCATAATTTGTAAAATGATGCAAGTAACCATTATAACAGATTCAAAAACTAGTATAGTTTTTTTTTGGAAACTGTATGTAAACTAGCAAAATTTAATTCCAAAAGAAAGGCTTTGTGCAGATTAACTTTCATTTGAACACACTACCAGGTTAAAACTACTTTGTGCATTTTGAAAGATTTCTGAAGTTTATTTATGTATATCTTGCAAATGTTGCTCAGATTTATTTTAGGCTTGTTCCTTGTGATTAGACATTTTCCATTATGATCAGAAGGAAAAAAAGTAACTTTTTTATTATAAAAAAATATTAATTATGTAAAATTGTCATTATCTATTTGAATATAAGTAAATTCACATGGAAGTCATTTTTAAATTATAATTTTTCTTTTTCCATTAATATAATTTCTTTTTCTTACTGTGAGAAAATAAATGAGAAAGATACCATATTATATACCAAAATTATCTGAGCTCTTAGATGTAAGTACGATTAATTGATAATAAACATTTTCATTATTTTTATAAATATATTTATTTGAACTGGTGTCCTGTATATAAAATACTGTAAGTGTTGTGTGCACTATATGTATTCTAGAAGATGTAAAATGATATAAATAACAGATCTGTTTAATTTTAGGGGGCAGCAATTGCTATAATTATCAAATGGGACTGTAATTTTGACTTTGACGCTTCCAAATGTTTTCCAACATACATATTTAGAAGGTTAGATGAGAAATTTGATATTGCTCCAGGTTTGAATTTTAGGTAAGTAAATTATTTTGCTAAATATTTTCATATGTACACTGCTCAAAAAAAAAAAAAAAAAAGAAAAGAAAAGAAAAAAAAAAAATGGGACAGTCCTATATCTCCCGATCTACTGGGTCGATTGACAAAATTCAAATTGCGTTCTTCATGTCTCGAAAGCGCGACTTAGGATATATATTAGTTTTATATATAGCACTATTCTAACATAGGTATTTTGACACAAAATCGGACTTTTTCTGAAATAACATACCAATTTTTTTACATATTTCGATTCTACGACTCAAATTACGCCTAAATATGAAATTTTGTAAAATTTGGAGCGAAATTTACGGAGAAATTCATAAATTTATGTTGGCACTTTTTTGTCAGTTTGCGCCAAGAATAGTTCACTTGGCGAACTTCTTAATATATGGCAACCTAGTTTCCTTTCCCGTGAGCGGAAAAAAAGTCACCATCGTTCCTTTTTTCCAAATAATATTCTTTATATTATATTTTTAATTATAACTTATTATTTTAAGTAATTTTTTCTTTTTCGAATTTCATTTTAATTGTTTAAGTTGCATGGTTTTTTTTTTTTTTTTCGAATAACTATTTAAAAATTTCTACTTACCTATTCGAACTGCGTAAATGAAGGTGCAGCATTTATTTTTTTTCAAATAGTTTTCTTTATATATATTTTTTGTCATAGTTATTATTTTAGGTAATTTTTAAATTCTTAACTTTTATTTTAATTGTTTGTGTTGCATTGTCTCTTCAGATAATTGTTTTAAAATTCGAATTGAGCATTTTAAATATATTTATTAATATAAATTTTCCAGAATTTGATTTTATTTATTTGAATTGCGTTTCTTTCGGAGGAATACTTTGTAACCCAGACTACGATGCGTTTGAAAACTGCATATATTAAAAGAGAAAATACAGTAAAGCACAGTTAACACGCCTTTCAATGTTCCGTTCAGAAAAGATATATATAAATAAGAGACACATTTAACTTATGATTGCGACATTTTAACTTAGGATGACTTGCATACACTGCTTTAAACAGTTTTATCATTGTGCCCATTGCTTTACACAATTTTATCCTACATTTGGCTTCTTAAATGTTATTCATATTTTAGTCAAATATTTTATTTTTGAAATCGCAAAAATCAAATATCATAAGATTAAAAAGTTTTAAAATTTAAAAAAATACAAATACTAAATTTTACCATAAAATATATTTTTCTTCTCTTTTTCTTCAGGCATTCTACTTTATTCTTCCTCTTTTTCTTCATTCTACTTTATTCTTGCTCTTTTTCTTTAGGCATTCCGCAAGTATATTAAAAAATATCCAATTTTCGAAATATCTTGATATTTCTGACAATCATTTTAAATAAAGTTATCGCCTTCCATTTCATAAAGGCCCACAAACGGCCGAGCGGTAAAGTCGCTGAACACTGATAGTTCACTCCGGGGGTTCGAATCCCGGTAAACAGGCTGGTTGCATGGGCGTTTTCGTGGATTTTCTCATGTGTACCGTGTATGCCAGCTGATTTCCCTTAGAAAGTTCTTCACAACGGCATCCTTCCTTTTAGGCAGATAGCCCTACTTTGATGTAACTTAATAATTCAGTTCAACCCATTTCATCAATATTTGGTCAGAGCCTTTATGTCTTTAGAGGCTAAACATTTTGAAGGTATGAGATGAAAGGAAAGACTGGTTTCATCAAGAGGTTTTGGTTTATTTAATTATGACAAAGCACACTAGGGCTATCTGCCTAGGGGGAGGGATGCCTTCGTGGAGGACTTTCTAAGGGGAACTGGCTGGCATACACGTTGCACATGGGGAAAACCACGAAAATGCCCAAGCAGCCAGCCCGTAAGAAAACGATTTCCAGATTGTACGCACTTGTGCGAGTGATTTGCGATCTCACATTTTCTAATCGCTAATTCGTGGTTTTCACAGATGACGATTTCTCACCTTAAAAGGATGGCGCACTTCGACTTTTATTGAATTTAACAACCTTAAATGATAATTTGCTTTCTTCAAACTTTCTTAAGGGTATACAACATATTAAACCCATGTAACAAAAAGTTAAGTTAGATTCCGACCCATATTTCCGTTTAAAAATATTGCATACAGCGCCATTTCTTCCCCCCCCCTGGTGGTGAGGTTTGGAACTTTCCTTTTTTTCACGGAAAATAAATTCCCATGAGCTTTCTTTTACACGATTACCAGGTTTGATAACATTTGATCCAGTAGTTTTTTGTTTTATGACCGTTTCAATGTGGAAACGATTTAATTAATAAACACCCTGTATATTATTAAATTTTAATTGAAGGCTATTGCATTATATGTATACCATGTGTTAAGATTTCCGCTTTTATAGAAAAAATAAAGAATTGAAGCATAAAAAATATTCTAGGATAATGGAACAAAAACTGAAAAAAAAAAAATCCCCTCCCTCCGAAAATAAAATATTGAAACTTCGGCCTTCAATTTATTGGATTATCGAAATATTCAATATGACCTATCTTCTAAGTCCTAGTTCTGACAACAATTCCGTCAAAAATTCCGAATTACTTAAGCTGATGTAAAAGATTTAGTATATATTCACTGTATGTTAGTAAAGTAATCAGAGTGTAATAAATATAGATTATAGAATTTACGCTGATGCAACTTTTTGTCTGACTGCACAACATGTAATGGAAGAGAAGGTTTGTAGAGATCTATTTTTGACATGCCTCTAAAAGTAGATGTCATATTAATTTTGTCTCTTCAGTGTCAAAAAACTTTCCTTTGAGAGGCAACTTTAGTTTTGGGAAAGAAAAGAAATCACAAGAAGGCAAATTTGAAAAACATGCAGGACGATTGAGTACACATACTTATTTTCGGAACACAAGCGTTTCTCCGACTGGTTATTGAATAATGAAAAGATGCATTATCATGCAATACAAAACATTTGGAATACGTTGTCTGACTGAAAACGTAAGATTAAAAGTCATCTGCTTAATTCACAACCATTTACAAGTCAACTAATGGGGCAATTGCAGAATCGTTTTAATCCTGAGCTTCTAAGACAAACCTTATATCACTGGATTTAAACACTTCTTTAATCTTCCGAGAACGTTCCATCTTTAGCTCATATTCCAAGAATATTAAGTGAATACAATTATTGCAAAAGAAAATGAATATTCATTTGCACTACGGCTTGGTAGTTCTGCTTTTTGTGTCTCTAAGTATAATAACAATATTTTAAATATTTTACAAATAAAATATTAAATTGGAAATTTAATTGGAGCCTCACCAGTTGCCTAGCATTTGAAGATTGTTAAATACTAACTGTTTGTTGCGAAGTCTAACCCAGGGTTTTGCATGGTTGGTTTTCGTATTTTCTAGGTTCTCTTTACAAAGGTTCTCTATGAAAGCATCTTAACCAAATAGCTCCCACATTCTTTCTATGTTCAAATAACCAACTAACCTAGTTTAAGTGCGATTTCCAAATGATGTTACTAGCAAAACCCGAATACTCATTAAAAATCATGTAGCTTGCCAATCAGGAGTAACATGAAAGATACGGCGCCAATAATTGAATTGCTGTTACGGTACGCTGTTTCTAAATTTAGATGGTCATTCCTTAATTAAATAGCCCACTAGCGGCCAAGCGGTAAAGACGCTGAGCACTGGTAGTTCGGTCGGAAGTTCAAATCCCGCGAACGGGCTGGTTGCATGGGCGTTTTAGTGGTTTTCCCCATGTGTAATGTGTATACGAGCCAGTTTACCTTAGAAAGTCCTCCACGAAGGCATCCCTCCCTTTAGGCAGATAGCCCTCGTGTGCTTTGCCATAATTAAATAATCCAATCCAATCCTTAATTAAATATAATTGATTTTTAACTTCTACTAGAGCTGACGGTAAAAATTGAAGTGCAAATAAATAATATCGTGTGCAATCTTGATTTAATATAAAATTAAAAATTTTGCATAGAAAAATATTTGCATTCAGACAGAAAGTTTTTTGAAATATTTGCAAATTACTTTTATAAGAAGGAATTTATTAATAACCGTAATAATTATTATATATACTGATGATTAGGAATTCAGTTCTTGACAATTACATTCTAAATTAGAATTTTAAGGATACAGTAATGTCCAAAATCCGCAAAGCTATGCACAAAAATACATTTTACAGATTAAATTGACATTAAATACAAAATACAGAATGTTGGGTGTCGTTTATATAATTATTCTTGCTTGTGCACAGAATCTGCTGACTTATCCAGCCATTAAGTAGCTGCAGATCATTTCTACATAATCATTGAACTTCCATTAATTCAGTCTCTACAGGGTTGTATGTTTATATCATAATTTGACTTTTATAAAAATGATTATTCAAAATCTTATATTTCTATAAAAATATACTATGCTTTAAAAATATGGATGATAGTATCTGCCGCTCTTTCAGCCACTTCAAAAGCAACAGTTTGTTTTAGAAATAAATTATGCAGTTAATGTCATAAAAATATTTTCATTAAATTCAAATAAACATTAAACGAAAATTCTCAGTTTTAGACAATTCTATTTAAACGAAGTAAAGTAGCAGACGATAAAACGCCGAAGGTAAAAATTTACTCTTAGAAAAACGTACTCTTATTTTTTTAAAAAAAGGAAGAAAGAGAGAAATTTTAAAAAAATTGTTAAAAATTTGAATAATATCATCTATAATTTAAAAAATAGATTTTCATATAGTATTAATAAATATTTATTACGTCTTATTGTGGGAAAAAATTTCATATAATTAATTCTCCGTAAAATTTTACTTGAAATTTAAGGTTAAAAATAGCTGTGTCAATTCAGTGTAACAAAAATCCATAGACCACATTTGGCGATATTATCGCTCAAAAAAAAGATGCCAAATTTCAAAACGCGAAAATATGTAAATTCGTGTATATCTTGGAAAATTTTGAATAAAAAAGTCTAATTTTTTGCAGATATGCTTAAAAATACACCTACTTTATGATGAT